CACGCCATGCACCAAAAAGTTTTAGTGGTGCACCAGTGGCACGCCATTAGATTATAACTGCACCAGCAACCCTACCTGCAAAACAGAGTAAGGGATACTATATAATGAAAAAAAGTTAGAACCTTATCAGGAACAGTACTCAAATAATAAATTTTTTAACTCCATTAAGATCGGTATTGTCGATCCATCAGGAATAGTATTTTTGCTCACGTTACACCCGATCACAGTAACCTGCGGCTCAAAACAATTGATCCTTACTCTAATCGACCTATTCTTCAAATATTGTAAAATTTCTTTTTGTCCCATCCCACTTTTGCTGTGGAGGCCCATATATTGAATTAACTCTACTCCAAAAATGAATGTTTTGGATCCCAGCATCGCCATAAAAAATTCACGCACATTTGACATTTGTGTGGCGCAAACTAATTGTCTTTCGAAACCAGATGTAAAGTAACACGATCTGGAAAATTCAAACCAAACGTCTCTTTTATTAAAAAAACGCTTATTTCTCAAAAGTTTACGTAAGAAACCACCTTACGTGCACTGAAAACCGTTTTTCTTGAGTAATTTTCTATATAATCGACCAACCAAACCCTAACCTAGGCACTCATCAAACCCCTAACCTAACTTAAACGAACTTAAAAATTTTTATGCGCCACAAAATCTGTTGCATAGGCGGAAAATTTTATGGTGATGTTTGGAAAGATCCGAAAATGCCCACCTATTAGAACATTCTGAATGAATAACGACTTACAACATTGGTTTTTTCCCCTAATTAACGATTTAAATATATGAATTATTAAACAAATATATGCAGAGTACAAAAAGAATATGATTTAAAAATTTTACTTTTGAAACCAGTAGTCTGCTTTTCGTAAGTCAACTGCTACACCAATTCCATTTCGGTAACAATGTCCAAGATAGTTCATTCCATTAACATTTCCCATCTCAGCAGATTTTTGAAAATAAATAAATGCCTTATGTTCATCCTTTTCAACCCCAAATCCATCTCGATAAGAACATCCAACATTATTTCTTCCACGTGCATCGCCATTATCGGCTGATTTTTTATAATTAATGAATGCCTTACGATAATCTTTTTCGACTCCAATACCATAACGATAACAATTTGCAAGACTATAAATTCCAGGAACAAATTCCATCTCCGCAGATTTTTGAAAATAAATAAATGCCTTTTGCTCATCTTTTTTAACCCCAATACCACCTCGATAAGATATACCAATGGCATGTAATGCTACAGGAAGTCCCATATCAGCGGCTTTTTGAAAATAAATAAATGCTCTATGTTCATCTTTTTCAACCCCGATTCCATTGAAATAATGGGTACCAATCGTATATGTTCCATCAGCGTGTCCCATTTCTGCAGATTTTTGGAAATAAATAAATGCTTTAGGTTCATCCTTTTCAACTCCGATTCCAGTTGCATAACAACATCCAACAATAAATAATCCCTTAGCATCTCCCATATCAGCAGATTTTTTATAATAAGTAAATACTTCATGTTCGTCACCAATTTCTGCTATATTTTTGTTTATTTCTTCACCATACGGATCATATAGACAATTATTATCGTTAATTGATTGAGTAATATAATCCGATGTTTTGATAGCTTTTTCTAAGCTATTGCGAGTTTCATCCAAGATTTCATTATTTGACATTTTGATCGAAAGAAAATCGAAGAGTTATTAAAGGCATACGTACATAAATAGTAAATACTTTTTATTCTATTGATTATATTAAACTACGATGAAAATCTGATAGGTTATTGGAAATTTATACTCAGGAATATAAACAATTTTTTATTGGATACATTGAAATTAACAATTGCTTGTAGATAACGTATGTACATACAAGTTTATTATGATTAGCAATAAATTGGTGAATGAATTTTTCATTATCATTTTTTCCATATTTGGGAATAGCGGAGTTGTCAATCAAACTGTAGCATAGTAAAATTGAAAATTTGTTATACAAATTTAATTGCAACATATTATTTGTGACAACTTATCATTATAATAAATTATGTCAGACATTAATGCAGTCGACTCTTTCTATAACAAACTGAGGTTCTGGAAGAAAAAAAGTCGTTATAGAAAATTACTACATTTTCTTAAGGGCCCATGACGCTTTCTACTGAACTATTATAAAATTTTTAAAATTTTGAGTTTATTATATCCAGTTATATAGAGGTTAGCTATATCCGGAGTCGACTGTATTAACGATGTTATCCTGCCTATCCGACCCGAGTCTAATAAAACTCTAATTTTTGCCGACACATGATTTTCATTATCATATTTAAACTCAGCGTTGTTAATTGGAAGCTTCCAATTAAAATTTAATTGGAATATGGAATTGGATCAATTGGACCGGGTCCAAATAGGAAAGCCCCTAGCTGTCCCACAAAATTTTTTCCACCCCCTGTAATTTGACCAAGTGTGACGTAAAAATTGAAACGGATCCACTTTTTTACAAAAAAAACAGGAATAGCTCTAAATTTTTATTAGGTAACCACCTACTGCGGCCTAATTAAAAATGTTCCTCGTGAAATTTTACTAATAGCCGTCGTATTTTTCTAGCTATAACCAGTGTTTAAAATTCAGATCGAAACCTACTTGCACAAATGCAGTTGTGTTATAGGTTTTAATTGCACAAACCAACTACTAGTTGCACACATGTGCATA